TCTTGTGCAAACTGCAGCTTTTCTTCCTTGGCGACCCCTTTTTGAAGCTTTTGTCCCACTCAGGATTAATACGATTTTTCTCGCTTCATAAAAATATGCTCTCATTTTTCTTTTATCTTCATTCAGTTACACGCAGTGTGGCCCACAGGCTGTTATAAATTGCCCGTCATGAAGAGATCCAAGATGGATGGAATAATTTCCCTGCATTGCCCCCGCCCTCCTCTGCCTGTCATTATGTGTCAGTCTTATAGGGCTTTATAAAATTGCCCTAAGTGCAGCGCCTTAGGCGCCCTCTAAGCCCCCAGTCCAGTGCCTAGATAATCTGATGTAGGCATGGATGAGTTTAAGAGGTTTTTTGGATGGTTATCCCCCATTCCTGCAAAAATACTACACGGTGAGGAGAGCACAGCTGACTGACATTTATAATAACACAGGCTAAAAAGCTGCAGCCCAATCTGTCTGTACAGCTGCACCAGCTTGTTTTGTTGGACAATTATGGGGTCACAGAGCCTCTATGTTAGACTCTAAGTGCCCTGCTTGGACATCTGGGTAAGTTATGGGTTCAGTAATAAGATCTGTATGTCTGGAGGAACTCAATCTGTCAAAGCTCAGTGAGGAGCACAAACCTAATTGGAGTTTTGAGCAACTGTATTTCTTTTTTCTGCAAGACACCAGGGTTTAAATACTAAATGTGTCCACAACATTGTTGACTTAATGGCACTCTTCCTCCACCTATCTTGCTTCTTGACACGTAAATAAGTTAAAGTCAGAGCTGTCTAAAATTTCAATCCAGTAAGTTTGAAACCTTAGTTATCAATACATCACAGCAAAGATGGAAAGTAGTCAACGAGGGGTATGTGATGGATGTGGCGTCATCAGTCTCTCTGTGGTTAACATCAACACTGACACTGTCTCCCGGGGACGTTTTATATTTTCTGAGGCCACCCAGCCCCGATAAGGTCGGACTACACATCAAACATGGCGTACATAAATCCCCAGTCACAGGATGTTCTCCTGTCTGCTCCCCTAAAAGAGAAGCAAACATCTAGCAAGTCAAAAGTTAGGGAACAGATCATGGTGACGATTGAGTTCTCCATCAGGGGAGAGCTGGATTTATCTGAAAAGTTTTCAAGGGGGTACAGGCATGCTATCATCTCACCGCATCTCAAGAAAGTGTGAATTATAGAGTGGCTGCGCTCCCGAATTTGACAAGTGAAACAACCCGATACCCAAAGGGTGATCTCAAATGGGTAGACTTTCCATCCTGCAGGAATTAGCTCTAAAAATGAAAGTCTTACAGGAATATCACAGGAAATGTTCAAAAATGTTGTTTTTTCCATCATGTATGACTGTACCCAGAACAACTCCCCAATAGCTACAGCTTTGGAGAGTTTACTCAACTTTTCATTGGGTGCTTTCTGCTTCTGGGGCATGAGACGTCTCAAAAACTGAAGTTCAAACAAGACTTTTTAAACCCTTTAAAGTGCTCTTGGCTCCCAACAGAAGCGTGTTTGTGTCAAGTCATTGAAGTTGTAAAACCAAATCCACATTAGTCTTCTAACTCTGTAATTTAAGGTCTTGTGTACAGTATATTAAGAATCTGAAACTATTAAATAGGAATGTTCTTCTCAACTAAATCCTAGCCAATTAAACTGGACTATAGTCAACAAGTCTAAAGATAAAAACACAGAAAATAGTAAAAATTTACCACGATGGATGAAGCATATTGTTTAGACATGGTCGTGACGAGATGTCTGATGGTAAACACTGAAAAATTGATTAGCCAATTGTGGCTAATGTTAGCTGTGCTAGCACCACCAGCCGTTGGTCCTCCTTGTAGATTAATGTCCACATGCTTTGGTGCAAAATGTCGTAATGCATTGCTCTGGTACATAACCAGTTTTAACCCGACACAGCCCCACATTCAACTTCATCTCCATTTTCTTCATCAAACAGCGCTGCTCCTACAAGACGCCGTCCGTTCACTGTGCTTGTTTACATCTGGGGCAGTTGAGCAAGGAGAGATGGCCCATTTACCGGTGCTACTGCCCCAGCTAGTGGTAACAACATTTAACACTTAACATTAACAACATTTAACGTGCATTGTAGTCCTACATATAATATGATATATAATTAGGTCAACTAACTAGTAATTTTGGTTCTTATTAGCGAGGGTGATGGGTGAAAATGAGTTTCAATCAAAAAGTCAAAATAATTGTCTCTTAAGTTTCACTAAGCCTCTCTGATATTTTTCTGAAATTGGTGTTGTTGTTTTTTAATGAAAGTTACACAATATTCTACAAACCAATCATGGGAACTGGCATATTGAAGCTGTTTGGCTGTTTACACCTAGTTTTAGCTTTGTTCCTTACATCATTAGTAGTGGTCGAGATTGTTTTTTTGCTGGTTTGCAGATTTTAAATTATGAATTCAGCTGACAGCTAGAGTTTCACGTGGGATATGATCTATTTTCTGAAATTAATGACCCTAAAATATGTCACTTGCTAATGCTACAGAGCCATCATTTAGCATTACATTCATAGCCTTTGAACAAGTAGAGGCATCTCAGCTAACGTTGCATGTGCATGCTAACTGATAACTGATAACTGTTATATAGGATTAGCAAAGCATATTTTTAGTTGTAATCCCAACCTTTCTGATTGCATTTTTTTTCTGTTGTTCTGAGTCAGACAATTCTAACATGCTGTTCAAAGCTTTACAATGCTGATTATCCTGTGTGTGTCATTGTTGTGAGCGGAGCCATGTGATAGGCCCCGCCCACACAGTCCAGTGAACCAAATGAGCTGGTTTTTGTTCTGGATTTCCAAAAAGTCATGACCTTTTTTTTTCACTCAGATTTTTGTGGTTGCTTAATGAGAGTCCCAACTTGTACATCATACATTCATTTTCACTATTTCAAGACAGTTTCCTGAAGGCTTTCACTTTGTTTTCCCAGTTTTCAAAGCATGGCGTCTATTTGGGTACTGAACTGAGGTTTTAATTGCACCTGGAAGTGTCTCTATTCTAGCCACCCTGCTTATTTACAGGCATGCTTCTGCCTCAATATCTTGCAGTCATGTGGCAACTAGACTTAATAATAATTACCTTTTCAATAAATAGTGTCTGAGAACATTTCGAGTGACACTATGCCACCCAAGCGGTTATTAGCAGCTTTCAGAGTCTTGCACTTATTCAGTGTGGTTCAAAAGCCTTACATTCATAAACACTTGTTCCAGATCCCCACTGCAGACTTCTATTAAGATGAAACGTCGGTGTTTGAACTGTGCTTTATGAAACCATCAAAGAAATCCTTGAACATATTGAATCACCAGAATGGTGCATCTACTTTGAACCTTTCAGAAGTGATTCAGGGCTCCAGCTGGGAGGTATCGCGTTAACTCGGCTTTATCTTTCACCGTTTTTGACGAGGCCATTTTTGCACTTTGTTTGTTTTTCATACCATATGGATAACTTCTGACTACCTGTTTGATAGTGATGGTATTTAAGGGTGTTTAAAATATTTTAAGTTCTGCAGAGTTGTGCTTTGTTGAAGAATAGAAGCTAGTGAATGTGTTTTGAGAAGGATTTTATTGTGGCATTCATGTGTACTAAAGCCTGGACTGTAGAGGTCTGGTCTACTGGTTGGAAATATGCAATGTCCCTGTCCCCCCCCCCAACCCCCACCCCCACCCCCACAGTCTTTTCCAGGAATAATAAATATTGCTGCTACTGCTATTGATCAAATGACAAAGCAGGATTGCTTCACACAGCAGACACCACCTGGCACACAAATCAACAGCTATAGTATGCTTTCAAGATCGGTGGCAGGCATCTTGTTTTGTAAGAAATGAGTTGTTGGCTGTTTGGCTTGAAAAAAACTGCAAGGTGTCTTCCAGGACAACAGGTGTTTGCTTGAGCGTTTGTGACAGGAATGTTAATATCAGGTTATGTGATGCGGCAAAAAAAAAAATCTTGATCTGAAAACAATCTTTCTGTTTTGTTTGTGTCACTCCAGTTTGCACTGGAGGGTGGGGGGGGGGGGATGTTTAATCAATGATGATTTCTGGTGATTGAAAACGAGTGGGGGCGAGTGATAAATGGAAGAGAAGCGCTCCTTTCATTTCACCTGCTCCGTGGTGTGAAGTGGCGGGGACTGGCTGCAACCATTCGCGCTGCTTCCGCGGGGTGGAATTAGTTCTGCAGTGGGGTTGATTTCAGCAAAGCAGCAACTTTCGTGTAAAATGATTTTCAGGAATCACCCCGAAACACCATTTATTCAGGTCATATCAATAGACTCGCAGGCGAACAAACAGATCCTGCGACAGCGTGCGTTTATTATTGCGTTGTATCAACCTCCCCCCCCCCCCCCCCTCACGCCAGCACAGAGGAACAGAGTATCAATCTGATGCTGTCCACCGTTTCCAGGGTGAAAATCCCCCTAAGGAAGCATTCAAAAGCTGCTAATTAAAACAGCTGAGAGAGAGAGAGAGGGGGGGGGGGGAAATCAAGCGAAAAGGGAAAAAGACAGCAGAGGAAAAATGTTCGTTTGGAAAACATCTTAAAAGGACTAGAAAAATCTCGCAGGTAAATATAAACGCTTTTTTTTTTTTATCTGTGAGTGTTATGAAGGAACAATGGTGTTTTTGAAAGAGAGTTGTTGCTTTTTTATCTGCGTATAGCGAATCAATCAGCACCGGTCTGCTTGGACAGCTCCGTGCGTCCTCCCCCTCCTCCGCGTCTCTCTGCCTCTCTATCTGCTCCAGCTCTGAAATGCTTGCTTGTAGCCACACAAGAGCCGCGTCGATGTGTCTCTTCGCCTCTTTTTTTTTTTGCAACAACAGTTTACGGCTCTCTCTCTCTCTCTCTCGATTCAAAATAAATAATTAAATGGGAAGCCGAAGCGATGTCGATAAGCCCTGTGAAGAAGTCGTGCCTCCGCTGGAATTAAAACAAACCTTCTGATTGCCTCTGCCTCCTTCTTCTTCTTCTTCTTCTTGCAGGAACGATTCTTGGGGAGCCTGGTCCGCAAAAGGATGTAAAACGGTGCTAACAGATGCATCCCATACAAAATGCTTATGTGATCGCGTATCTACCTTCGCCATTTTGGCTCAGCAACCAAGAGAAATAGTAAGTAGGGGTATTGATTTGTTATTCAGTGTGGGTTTTATAGGCCAATGTAAAGGCTCTGTGTTTGTGTGTGTGTGTGTGTGTGTGTGTGTGTGTGTGTGTGTCTGTGTTTGTGTGTGTGCTGGTGCGAATGTAAATTGAATCTTTGCTGTGCTAATCCTGTTAAATACTAATTCAGCGGTAAAGGGAGATTCCTAGTTTGCTCATAGATTGAGATAACTCTGTGTGTGCGCGTGCACGCTGGGAGGGTGTGTGCATGCTGATGCTTGTGTGTCTCTGCTCCTCATCAGTCAAATGCACGTTTAGTCAGGGGGGAGGAAGATCAAAAAAAAAAAAAAGAAAAGAGTCAGATTTATCATTAGACTGCAGAAAATAAGAGTGAACAATTCTGCATGCAGAGTCTTTCTTTTTTAAGTGTCTTGAGCTCATGTGCTGAAATTAGGCTTGTGTAAAGAAACCTGAAGCATGTCTTGTGTTATTTATTGTTCAACATAGTGTAATTAACAGTGAGAACATAGAGTGCTTACACCATGGCCTCTGCAACAGTACACAGTAGGAATTGAAATGGCATGAAGACATCTATTACCTCCCTCTACATCAGGCCTGAAACCTTTAGCAGCAGAATGACAATCAAACATTCGGCCTTAAAAGTGTATTTTTTGTACTGTTTTATGTGTCTAGTGCATCCCCAGTTATTTAAAGTATATCTAAAGGTAGCTACAAATTGCAGGCCTGTGATTGGCCAGCTGAAAAAAAAACAAGAATCAAACAAAAACAGTCTTTAGAAAGCACTTGTGTCGAGCCTTCATTCTTTTTGCAAACACAATTCCCGGCACAGATAGGTGGAAAGTTTTGGTCATGTACAGAATATAAACAACCTTCAAAGCCCACGCATGCACTCCAAACCTCACAGTACATTAAGGAAACCCATGGGTGGACTGTTGAGAATAAGCACGGTGGTTGTTTTGATTGGTTTGCATCTCTGGGCAACCATAAAGATTTACTGTCCTGCATGAACCACATCCAGCCTCCCACTGACTGCTCCGTCTTGCTCCGTCTCCTCCACAGACCATGGAGTACTCAGGGGTCCCATCTGTGACATTGATAGTTGGCTGTGGTCTGTCGTGCCTCGCCTTGATCACGTTGGCAGTGATCTATGCCGTGCTATGGAGGTAAGTGCAACACACTGAGAGCGAAAGCTGCAACCACATGATGAAGAATCCCTTCATAGAAATACTCTAACGTTGTACTCTTCTTTTCTTCCTTTAGATATATTCGCTCAGAAAGATCCATCATCCTGCTCAACTTCTGCTTATCTATAATCTGCTCCAATATATTGATCCTCGTCGGACAAACGCAGACCCACAATGTGGTAAGTGTAGTTTACAGATTTATTCAGCAGCTTACAAGAAAAATAAAAAAAATGGAGGTCCAGTGGATGTTTTATCCATCAGAGAGTTTAACCTGAGATAATAGTGCAATGCCAAGTGGTACCTCACTGAGGCCTTGTCGAGGCTGAACCAAGGCTCAGCGCTTTTTCTTTTTGTGTTTTTGAGAGCTCCTTAAAGATCTTCAGGTTTTTTCTTTTATTGAAATGTGTGAGAATGGGCTTTGACACTTCTGTGCAGCAGTGTATCAAGAGGTTCTTTTATCAGGAAATAGACGATGAAATAGAAAAGGTTAAAGAATTTACACCAAGTTTCTGTGAAACTCCTTGCAAAGTACTCATTGATCCAGTCTTTCTTTTTCAAAATAGGAAGCTGAGCAGGGACTAGCTGTGGAAACGAACTGATGTTTAGAGTCGCCAATAGTGTAGTTATAGCTTGTTCATAGATCCTGTGCGTCACAGAGGAGGTTCATAAAACTTCAGGGAAGTGTTTCATTGGATAAATAATTCGTACAAGCCCCCAGGATCCATGAATGATGAATCACCAAGACTTTCAACGCTCAAAGATAAATGACTCAAACTCTAAAAAAGATACTTTAAAACAAAATGTCACAATTGGGACGGAGAGTGGCAACAAGTTGACAATCAACATGAGAGATATGTGAATAAACACGCAATTATTTGATTTCATATGCCCTCTAAAAAACAGTATTAAGGTTGTCACTATCGCAGAACTTTGATTGTAAAAATCAAACGATATTTATACTTGTTTGGATACCATGGTAATAAAAATAGAAGTCCTAGGCAACCCAATTAAAGAAATTTCATGTTTTTAATTACCTTTAATTGCAAGTGAACTCCTGCCCTCTGTCTGAAATTGCACAGATAAATTGGCAAAACTTCAGTATTTGCACAATTCTGAGACATTAATGCAGCTTTTGCTTCTTAATACTTTTGCTCATTAAAATTACAAATACTGTATCCTTTCAATTCACTGGAAAAGTGTTGAAGTACTGAACAATTTGACAGTTTTTGCAGGTATGCTTCCCAACTGACAGGGAGCAGTGCTATTTGTCTAACAGATGTTTGCTGTGTCATTGAGAGAACAAAAACGAACATAACCATTTAGATTATGAGATAACCCCAATGTGTTGGCATGATGATATTGAAATGTAGTTAAAATTCCAAGGACAGAAGGAAACTTTTTTAAGACATAAGCCAAAAAAGGGGACACTGGGATCACTTGGAGCTGGAGTACTGATGCTAGTTTTAATGTTATAGTTCAGATGTGACGCCCTGCTAGTCCTGCAGTTTGGAATATTCTGCAGCGTGCTAGCAGAAAGGCAGACAAGATGCACACTGGCAGACATGATGCAGCGCTCAATCAAAGCCTAATGAAGTTATTGCGACGCTGCTGCCCCTGAAAGGATGGTGTAATTGTGAATGTATAGCTTATGAGGCTGGATTGGAGGATAGTTGGAGCTCTCGTACTTTGATTTTCTGGGCAGTGTGCATTACCGAAATGACTCACAGCCATCACGGGGGGTTATAAAAACCACTTTTGTTGGATGTCAATGAGAACTGAAGTTTAAATGAAGTCAGCAGGAATTTCAGAAGGACAACTGTTATAGTTAAAAGAAGGAATCGCTTCCAATAAAAAAAATGTATCACATCCTGTCTCCGGGCTTCATAACTGGCCGGTAAACAAGTGGCTAATGTAAAAGATTGTTTGGCAAGGAGTAGTTAGGATTTACAAGCTGCCCACGCAGATGCCCTTCTCAGTCATTTGGCAAGCACTACAGAATGACACATTGTCCATTTTTTATTGTGTAACAATTTTTCTTAGTGTACCTTTACCTTTTCGCAAGGAACACACTGTTTTTCCTCAGCTCATTATGTCCCACTGTTTCTCCTCATTAATTCGTTCTCTTTAGTTTTTTCGGCCCGTTAACAAGCCGGTTTTCTTTTGGATCTGGACATTCTTGCAGTGCAGCAGTCATAGAATTTAAAGTGCATATTAAAAAAAAAAGAGAGAGCTAAAAATCTTTTAAAATGCTTTCATAAATAAATATATCTATGAGGGTATTGCATCGTTAGAAATGCATTTAAAGCATGGCCACTTGCCCTCTGCTTACATGTATGAACTATTCTTGGAACAGATGGATTTACCAGCAGTGGAAGGGGGAGTGGGGGGGGGGGGTCCGTATTTGACCAGACCCCACTCATTAATCAAAACGCTTCCTTCTATTAATCTACACACGTTCAGTAAAAATTGAATCATTAATTATGAATGTGGAGCAAAAGATGAAAAATGTTGTAAACCTACAAGGATGGAAAAAAACTGCAAAAGGTTTTATGATATGCATGAAGTGTAACACTCTCAGAATAACAACAAAAACATCACCCAGTCAGTTTGAGTTCATCTGTTTCAATATTGGCCCTCACATCTGGAGCACAGTGCTATAGCCAAAACTCTGAACGCACGAAGCTCGAGGCCCTTTTTTCTCTAAGCCGAGCTGATTTGAAGCCTTGTCAGATTTAATCAGCGCTCCAGTCATCTCCTGTCTTGATTATGAGGACCACCACTTAACAGTGAACACTCGCTCGCCATGCCGCTAATAAGATATCTGTCTCAGAAATCTGCAGAGATTAGGTGGTGTTTTTTTCTGAAAATCCTCTGACACACTGTAGACGTCATGTGAGCGACCCTCACAGTGACTCAACAAATCACCTTCACTCACTCACAGGGGGTCAGATTCAATCACAGCTGACTCAGTCACATCTAAACAGACATGATGTGATATATTTCAAACATTGCAGCTGCATTATTGTTTTTTATATCAACAGAACAAGTGACTATATATTGAAGAAGTGGTCACTTAGGGCTCCAGTAGCCTAGTGGTTAGTGTGCACGCCCCATATGCGGAGGCTGTAGTCCTCTAAGCGTATGGCCCGGGTTCAATTCCGCCCTGTGGTTTCTTTCCTTTCATATCATTCCCCACTCTCTCTCTCCCAGATTTCTGACTCCTGTCCTGTCTCTAAATAAAGGCATAAAAATCCTCAAATATAATCCTTAAAAAATTGATGATGGTGCACATTTTAGCTCCTTTTAGCTTTTAGTTTTCTTTTTGCAACATTTAGTTTTCATATAATCTCATCATCATCATCCTAACATCAGATGAAGAGCTCCTTTATACCGCCTGTGTGCACAGCGCCGAATGATAAAAGAGAATGTAAGCAATGAGCTACAAGAGCGCTAAACGGACAAACATCCATACATCGTATTGGACTCCTTCTCCCGTAATGACTCAACTTCTATTGTTGTTGTTGTTGTTGTTGTTGTTGTTGTTTTCAGACTTGTGTATTTCCTTATCTCAGGACTCTGGAGGTTTTGATGTGATATCGAGTTCAATTTCTGTAGATGTAGAGGAAACCGCTGACATTAACTTATTATCAGAAGAAAAGAAAAAACAGCGTTGTTGCCCTGAGATAACGAGATACACAAGTCAAGATCTCAAACAGAAATGTTCTCATTATCACGGGGGGGGGGGGGGGGGGGGGGGTATGGAGTCACATGAAATGTATTCATGCATGTCCGCTTAGGGATTCGGTAACGAGCTAACCAACACAGCAGAGAACTTATCTGCAGACTCTGATGTATTCATCTGGAAGTGAAGGACACTAAATACCGAGCTAAACGGAGAGTAAATATTCAGCGGAAAATCTGTGTGGGTGCCAGGAAACAGAACTCCAGATGAATAATAAAACTGCTTTCTATCCTTTGGACTGATACTAGTCTGCTCACAGGGGTTCATAATTCGGTATTCCTTTAAAGGTCTGGTTATTGATAGTCATTGAAAGATAAGGGCTACATGGTGGTGCAAGAGGTTCCTGGTTTGAATCCCTGTCGTACAGGAGCCTCTGTGTAGAGTTTGCATGTTCTCCCCGTGCATTGGTGGGTTCTCTCCAGGTGCTCCAGCTTCCTCCCACAGTCCAAAGACATGCTGGTGAGGTTAACTGGTGACTCTAAAAGTGCCCGTAGGTGTGAGTGTGGCTGGTTGTCTGTCTCTAAATGTCAGCCCTGTGATTGACTGTAACCCTGCCTCTCGCCCAATGACAGCTGGGGTTGGCTCCACCCCCTTCGACCCCAAGTGAGAAAAGCTGTAAAGATAATGGATGAATGGATTCATAGATAATATAGAAGGGGAACTGAAAACTGTCTATTTCCCAAAACCAAACCAGACACCCGAGACTTCTGTTCAGAAATAAGGATAAATAGAGTTAAGATTATTGGCTATCATGCAGAGACAGTCCAGATAACACAGCTCCTAATTGTAATGGAAAAAGAGTTACATTAAATAGCCCCCTCTCATCCTTCCACCCACCCAACTACATATAGAAACAGATCAAATGACTTTAAAATGAATAATTGAGTTGGCTTCAATTCTCTAGTTCCTCATGTTTACTATATATATTTAAAACATGAGAATAAGAAGAAAGATGGATCACATTTTGAGGTTTTAAAATAAGATATTTAAACAAACTTCTGTTGTTTGTTTTTCTTCGTCTTTTGGACACCTAGAAATCAAACCTCCTCCTCCTCCGAGGCGGCACATCTTCCACGGTGACAAATTCATTGTTTGTTCCTGCATTCAAGTTCCAAAGTTGTGTTTGTTTTCTCCGTCTCCCGAAGCTGTTTATTAGAGTTCCTGGACAATTTATTACTTCCGCCCCTTTGTTCTGTTTCCACTGCGTCTCTCCTGTTGTAATAATATTTGAGAAATCTTTCATTTGTTTGATCAGACATTCTGTAGATGTCCGTGTTTGACTTGTTGGCTAGCAGGAGGAGAGAAAACATAGCCCCTGTGTGGGTTTAATTGCCATGCTGCCTGACACTGCCTCACTTGTTTTTTTCCTCCCATCTCTTGTAAGAAGTGTGCATAATTGGCTGCACTGTTTGTGGATTCTGACTCGCTCATCGTCTC